ATTTGCAGTTTCTCAAGTTGCTCCTGACATGAACAAAAGTTATTTTGCAAATTAATTAAATTTAAGGCAATGTATTATAACATACTGGTAGCAAGGCTATTGTATGCCCAGAATTCAAAAATTACTTGTTTACCCACAAAAGAAGGATACATTTTAAAAGTTTTTGAAATGGCAGAAATGAACAAATTATTTTTTACTTTGATTAGTGAGAAGTTGTTGAACAATTTCTTAAAAGATAGAATTTATTTTATCAAGAAGAAAAATGGGAGCATCATGTTTATGGGATTTGAAGGCTTTTTGCTGAACTTTGAGTCACAAGATAATAAGTGTAGTTAAGTAATATAGATACATTTTAACATATATAACTATATTTATTTGGTTTGAGGGTGGGGAAATCATTTTAATATATTATGTGAAGGGTGTGATGGGAGCAAATATTAGGGCAGTTATTTGTAGCACTTAGTTTTTTGTAGTATATGTTGTGAATTATAGTGCATTGTTATGCTGTTTATATACCAATAAAGATTATATAGAATATTGTTTTCAGCAAATACTCAGTTTCTTATAATACATTATTTAATCTTCCTAGATTAGGTGAAATGGTGCATTAAAAAGGATCAACAAAAGAGCTTATGTGTTTCTAAGACCCGTCGCAAACTAGGTTCCTGCGGGAGAAAACCTTGCTAGCATGTCCCTGACGTCATGAGACTCCGCCTCTCGCCCCGCCCCTTTCTCCGCCCCTTTCTCTTTGCCAGCGTGGTTTTTCCTTTGCAAGGGGAGCATTGCCCGCATTTTCTCTCAGTTGGCAGAATTCAACTGAGAGAAAATGCGGGCAATGCTCCCCTAGCAAAGGAAAAACCACGCTGGCAAAGAGAAAGGGGCGGAGAAAGGGGCGGGGAGAGAGGCGCAGGCTCATGACGTCAGGGACATGCTAGCAAGGTTTTTTCCCGCAGGAACCTAGTTTGCGACGGCTCTAAGTGTCATTCTAGTGATATAGTAGGACCAAAAGTGTCTGTGCATGGCCTAAAACCTTCAATTGCTAATCCCAGCTAGGGAAAATCAATTCAACCAGTTGTTGAATGACAAACCACAGTGCTTTCATAAATGCCATGGATGCAGTTGGTCGTCTCTGATTTAGGGCCACAAGCCATAATTTCTTCTTTGTTCCATTATCTGGGTGAGGGCCAAAAGGGGGTGCTAGACAGAGAAGGATAGTCAATTTTAGAGGGGAGGGAGGTTTGAAGGAGTTAAACCATTTCCACCTGTTTTCCTGTTATTTCCCCCACCCGTGTCACCACCGGGGAAACAACCCTTGTTTATAAAATGGGAAGAGGAGAGGGGGAATAACAAGCAAAAACAGGGAAAATTGGTTTCCTCCTTCAATTAACCCCTCCCCATAAAATGGACTATCCTTCTATGTCTAGTGCCCCCTTTTGGCCTCCGCCTCTATAATAGAGCAGTACCGGAGTAAATAAAATGGCAGTATTTCTTTTTGTAGCTCTCAGAAGTTTTTAAAATACACCCTCCTCCCCTGATTTCTGTTGTTACGGACTAATTTTCTGGCAATTCTCAGTACCACCTGCAACATTTTATTTCCAGCTGTTGATTGATTTCTTTTTCATTTCAAGACAGGAGAAGTTACCTTCTCCTGCTTTCATTTTTTAAAATTCATCAGTGAAATGTTACTTTCACACTGAAATACTAAGAAAAATATATAGAAAAAATGATAATATTTGTTCATTAATTCATAAGGTCTCACAGGACACCATGCATTGGTTAAATAACCTTTGGAAAAACCCTTATGCATATCCGAGAAATTGTTACAAAGAATCTATGAAAAGAATAGAACACCTAGGGATAGAGGGACAATTACTGTACCAACAAAAACCCAATGAGGCAAAGTGCAAGAACTTGTGCTTCTTTGTATCCATCTGAAAGAACACTTAATGAAAGGATCAGGTTTTGCTGAACTAATAGGGAATATGCTACAAGTGCAATAATAATAATAATAATAATAATAATAATAATAATAATAATAATATCAAACAAAGTATGGATCGTCGATGTTGCAATCCCAGGCGACAGCAGAATTGAAGAGAAACAACTGGAAAAGCTGACACAATATGAGGATTTAAAGATCAAACTACAAAGACTCGGGCACAAGCCAGTAAAGATGGTCCCAGTGGTGATCGGCACATTGGGTGCAGTGCCTAAAGACATTGGCCTGCACTTAAACACAATCAGCGTTGACAAAATTACCATCTGCCAGCTGCAAAAGGCCACCTTACTGGGATCTGCATGCATTATTTGCCGATACATCACACAGTCCTAGACACTTGGGAAGTGTCCGATGTGTGATTCAATACAATAGCCAGTTTTTTCCCCCTGTCTTTTGAAAGGATTATCTCTGCGTCTTACAGATATACCAGCAGGACTTTGTGGAAAATAATATCATGATATGCCAATTTCCCCTCCTTAATAACTACACAAATGATTAATATACCATGTTTTGTGATTTGATGTTACTTTCAGAGCAATTTAAATCATTTAACTTGGATCTTGACTTTTGCTCTGTTATCTGCAGTTTCAGAAGAACTTCAGCTCAACTACCTGAAAAGAAATATGACAATTAGACACTAATAAATAATTTTATTTATTAGTGTCTTTATCTTTATTAGGAACTTTGAAGGAACTGGGGGTGGCCACGGTTGACAGGGAGCTCTGGCGTGGGCTGGTTCATGAGGTCACAAAGTGTTGGAAGTGACTGACCGAATAAACAACAAAAACAAGTTTAAATATAAATATATTAAATTAGGGTTTTTTTTACTATCTAGTAATAGGCAGATGTTCTCAGATGGATTCTTTGACATCAGTAATCACAAACAGCATTCTTATATTTAATATGAAATTAAAATCTTAAATCCATATATTTTTGTTAATGGAAAAGTTTACCTGTGTGAAAGCTGCAATTATTTATATGTCTTCTGTTTTTAAATCTGCATTTACTAGTGTTAATCAAGTTCTAAAAATTACTGCATTGATTAAAAGTACAACACTACTTTGCGGGCAGTAGTCAATTACTGTGAGACACTTGATCCATCTGATGAACTGGAATCTACTCTACAAAAATAGCTTGCGCGATGATAAATTTTGTTAGTCTTTAAGGTAATACAACAATATTTTTACACCAGACACTAATAATTCCTTCTGGAAATTTCCTTCTGAAACAGTTGTCCCTCTAAAAATTGTCACCATAACTGTGAATCTCCTCCAAAGATTATGTGATACTTAGCAATAATCATTCCCTGTTTATTGAAAGCTTAGTTGGTGATAGCTTGAGAATTAATCGGTATCAGATATAAGCCATCTATAAGCTTCTTTCTACAGAACGGAGAGCTAGGGAGGTAGAGTTGCAACATTCGTTGAGTTTGCATGTGGCAACTTAAATTGAGAATTTACTCCATTGCAGTGCTTACTGGATAATTTGGGCTAGTTTGCCACATTGTTTTGTATATAATGCTTACTATATAATTTGGGCCAGTTTGCTGTATTGTTTTGAACATTATAACACTTCAAGCTCTCTGTTCACTTATTAACACATGTATTCATGATCTGGTTTGTGTCACATCTGTCACATACATTTGAATATGATGAATTCTTCTTCAAATATGAGCACTTAGATAACTTGTACTTGTTACTTGTAAGATTAGTCTACAATGTTTAGAAAATGAATGTCAGGCATCAACCAAATTGCAGAATCTTCAACACTCTTTCTACGGCTCTGTATCTTGTTACAGTCCCTAGTCAAATGTACTGGAAGAACAAATATCATAAGCTAGACTTCTGAATATTGTTAATTGTTTTTATGTCATCACTAATGCCATAGACAGGACTATTGGGGAAGGGGCACTTTCCTATGATTAGTACCAACCTTTTTCCTTGACAGTACAGTAGACTCTCAGTTAACAGGCACCCATAGGGATTGGTAGATGCTAGATAAATGTCGTTTCTGGTTGCTTGAGAGTTACTATTAAAATAGTCCTAACTAATACTATACCCCACAATATACTGTAAACTCTGTACTGACTTGATATTAACATTGAAATACAGTAATTTAAAGCAATTTAGGGGGAATAAAGACAAAACTTAGTGTTACACAGTTTTACTGTTTTACTCTATTATTAGCATGGCTTTTAAAAAATTTATTTCTTTAATTTTTTTGCCAGTTGCTTGAGAATTCTGGTTTCTTGCATTCTAGTTAACTGAGAGTCTACAGTATTGTGTTTATCTTTTCATTCCTCCACTAAGAGAAAATGATGGCACTAGGCAAGACTGCATGGATCTCTAGTAGGTAGTCAAGAAGCAGAATTATCAATTGACTCTGTCACTTATTACCTGGAGTAGAATATTAATTAAGGCTACTCTCTGCCTCCTAATTATTGAAAGAGGAAAGGAAGCCGTTTGTACAATGTTTGGCAGCCATTCATACTTGGAAGAATTATTAGATCCTTTGGGAACCTCATAATTTTTAATTTCAAACAATTTTAGATGTCATGTAATAGTACTCGAATGTATTTTCAGTAATGATATAGTTGATTAAAATATAATTTTTCATATGATCAGCTGCAAGAATTAAGAAATTTGTATAATATTCGGTTGCCCATTTTGAGGTGAAGAGGCAGATTAAGATTCTTATTCCTTTGATTGAGCTGATGTGGATCACTTTAAAAGACAGTTCTTTTAAGAGTTTTAAAAGGAAGAGATTTGCTTTCACTGTTTACATTTCCTTGGAACTCATCCCTTAAAGGCATTCCCTGCCATTGACAGGACTGAGCAACACGCTGGCTGGGAAATAAACATGAAGCTGAAGAAAAGCAGCTATGTCTGGAAAAAAAGGCTATAAAGTCATCTTGATCTTATCTCCAGCCCTTTCCGCCCAAACCCACCAAAGTCTTTACTAAGCTGTCTGCCTATAAATAGAACAACAGCTCTCTTGCAGAAATGGGCAGCTGTAAACTACAGGCTTATTCTTTCTCCTGGCAGCATCAGTGTTGTGCAAGAGGCAGCAGAACCACTATGTAAGGGTTTTTCCCCCGCCTTTGATAGTTAAGCCATGTTACCTATAAAGTTCCTGTAGGTAATTAATATAGTGAAAATGCTTTTAATTAGAGTTAGGGCCATAGTCACACGTTTTTGAGGTGCTTTTGCTTTTTTTGAGAGGCTATTATTTAAAAGACATGGAGGAGTGCTTATCGTGCGAACAGGTGAGTTTGCTGTATATATGTATATGAGCACTTGACTGGATAGGAAATAGTTGGGTCATCAGTTTCACAAATATATAATAGAATAAAACAGGATTTGTGTATAAATCATTGAAGTTACAAAGTTTCTACTTCAAGTTTCTAAATGTCCATTTGAACTGACATTCTGCAGGCCAAATTTGAAATGTTTCATTGAACAAGGTGTATGAGTAATCAACTCTCAGAAAAGAAAATTAGTTATATGATTTGGGATATGTTATCAGTCTTTTAAGAATTAATACAGGAAAATTTGAATCGTGCATTCCCACCTATACTTTAGGTTTCTTTTAGTGTTTCCTACTCGAGCCTTGGTTATATTTATCCTGTTTTAAAATCTTTGGGCTTTTGGAATTTTGGTTGTTCGGTCAAGAATCTAAATGGCCTTTTCTAATATGATGCTACAAAGAATTTTTTGTAGGTTCTATTAGATGTCTTCTCTTGAAGATACATATTCACAGGAACACAGCAGTAAATATTCTCTTGGTACCTTCTATTTTTGTGGAGGTAGAGTGGGTATTTCCACCGCTTTTTGGAATGGGGAATGAAATGGGATTATATTATATCTCTACCTGCTCCAGCATTGTGTTTATTAAACATCGATGCAATTTATCTACTTGATAACGAAAATTATTCTTTCTTTCCCCCAGCTTTTGTTTCATCAGTTGTTTTAATTCATTCAGATACATGTCATCAAAGCAGCTCTTCCCATTGTTTATTTCAGCATACTTTTTCTCATGCAATTATTATTTGATTAGTTAAAAACTATAAATTTATTTGGTGAGGAGCATGCTGTGCTATGGACTGTGTGGTCCTACTCTGAGAAAGATCTAATGGATGACATGTGTGTGTGTGAGCGCGCACATGCATCCAAGAAAGAAATCTTCAGGGAGTAGTTATAGTTTTTGTTGGCTCTATCTCTGGAATTTTCAATATAAGAAAAGCTACAATTAGCTAATTTCTTTGGTCAACAGGAATATTAGCTTACCTAATATTGGGGTTACTAAAGTGTCCGTTCATGTACAGAGACAATAGAGTTTGTATAAGAAGTGATTTTTGTAGTAGAGTAGTGCTTTTAAACTTTATGGTAGTGGTTATTATGACAAAGATTTTGAGGAATCTAATGATTGGATTCATTCTTCAGAGATTTTATATTGCCTGTTAATTTTGCTGTTTTTCTCTGAAAAAATGGTGCTAATAATATTGTGGTTCCCATTCTTTCCCAAAATATTGTGCTGGAAGTCATCAAATCATATTTATTCCCACTGAGAGTAATAGAACAGTCTTGGCAACATTTCACTGTTTTCACTTTTTAGTTCAGGTTGCCCTGACTTCAGTCATAAATGAGGATATTATACACTGTTTTTAATTGTGTTTCTGTGAACAGCATTTTTTTTGCCATGGTTGCTGAGGCAACAGGAGTTGGTGATAGGAAACTATGAAAATCTGCAGCTATTAAAGAGAGCTTTCTATAATTTATTCCATGCTTGTAAATGACTGCTTGCATTCTTGCAACTAGCATCATCTCAAACCATCAGTGAAAGTAAGTATTTGAAGGTTTGAAAAGATATTTTAGCTTTCTGGAGGTTGATGAATATACAAAAGAATATACTAGGTGTGTGGGCATTAGAAATAAGCCTGTATTAGGCATCATTTTCTGGTTTGGTTCCGTAGTTCATCCAGTACATTTAAAATTTGCTATCCCATTTATTGACTCAAGTTTTGCATCATATTTCTCCATGAGTTGAATTACTCTGCTAGAGATCCATGCCATAATCCTGCGAAGTTAGTCAATAATATAAATGGAAAACAAAGAATTTCAAAGTTGTCCATGTCTCTCTCTTTTATGTTGTACAATACACCTCTCTTATCCATCAATTAGATAACCATGGTTTCACTTACTCATACTCAACAAAATATCTCCACCTCACAGAAGTGTTTCCTGACCTCTAGATCCTCCAGTACAATTATATGGTATGCGTCCAGCTCAAAGATAGTCAAAATATATTTTTTGCTATTATCCACGGTTTTAGGTAGCTACAGGGTGTGTGTGTGTGTGTGTGTATGTATATATCCCTAATGGATATGCGGGTCATAATAATATTTCATTAAACAGATTAAGCTCACAGAGAGTTATTGCCTACATCAGTCAGTCACAACATTATTGGTTTTATATAAAGGGTGAAATCATTTGACTTAGTAGAGTAATGCAAGAAAGTTTATACTGTTGTATCAGTTTGGTTGTTTTGTTGTCAATTGTCATTGCTCCACGGATGCATCTTCACTGTAAAATTAATACAGTTTGACACCAGATTAACTGCCATGGCTCAATTCTCTGGCATTTGAGGATTTGTAACTTGGTGCGGTACCAACACTAAATGACAGAGGAGGCTAATAACCTCATGGGATGACAACTTCTATGATCTCATAGCATTGAGCTATGGCAGTTAAAGTGGTACCAATTGTGTTAATTCTGCAGTGTAGATGCACCCCAGGTTACGTTAAAAGCATCACTTTGTTTTTTCTTAGCATCTGGATAAAAAAAATGGCTGAAACATGGAGCAGTACGGTCTCCCAGTGATGTCTTCCTCGAGAGGCCTACTTGAATTATTAAAGTGCAGTTGGGAAAGGAGAGTGTTAAATGAAACATTTAAATCCCATATTATGTCATTTGTTGATTGCAGGAGCTATGCATTGTTAACAAATTAATGCTGGAGTCATTTGTTTGCAGTTCGTAAACTTCCATTTGCTTTTAAGATTCCACCTTGGAAGTATCTTAGCGTATTTTGGTATTTAATATCTTTCTTCAGCTGGAGTAACAAATGTTTCTGCTTAAGAACAGCCAAATGAGTGTGGGCTAAATATAACTTTGTAGCCTGGATATGCATATTATGTGAATGAGTGTGTGTGGCTAGCTGTGGAGCAGATTTCTTTTTTAAAAAAAGGTCCAGAAGTCTTGTGTGGAGACAGACTTGGCACTTCAGTCTTGGGAAATGGCAGCCAGCCAGCGAGCTATGAGTCAGAGCCAAGAATATCTTTTAAAAATACCAAATAGAAAGGCTTGAAAGATTATTCCTGCTTTTTTATTGCTGCCCTCTTCACTCCCTTAAGTATGCAGATCATTTCCTGTGGTAGTCAGTCGCTGATAACTTTACATGAGGTAGCCTGCTGTGTACTAACTTTATTCCAAGACGTGAGTTTAAAGCCCTGATTGGACAGGACAGGACTGTGACCTCAAATTCTTAGGTTCTTTGGCTTTCTGTGCCATTATCAAAGTTTTAGAAATTCAGTTTAACCGATTTGAAGATTGTATCCTTCACACACCATGATAACATCTCTCTATAAAACGGGAAAGGAATCCCTGCACAGTGCTTTGGACCATTGTTTATTGCATTTTGATGCAGATAAGATTGCCAACTCAGTTTTGTAAATGTTTTGGGTGTTTCCACCAGAGGGCAGTGAAACAACAAATACTCTTTCTTCCAGATTTGAAAGTATAAAACTCCACTTTTCTTCTGCTTTCTGCTGAGAGGAGGGCATGGGTAAATAAGAGGACTGTGTGTAATGGCCCTATTTTCTTGTTTTCTAGACAATTATAAAAGAGGGCATGCTGATGAAACAGACCAGCTCATTCCAGCGGTGGAAGAGGCGATACTTCAAACTGCGAGGGCGAACTCTTTACTACGCAAAAACTGCCAAGGTGTGTTGTTGAGTAATTTAATCAAAAATCTGAATATAAAAGGACCCATTCTCTCCCCATTTAACTGCAGATATTTCCATCAATGATATCTACATGTATATTTTAGAACATGGACACCCACATTATCACAGTTTATTGCAGTGTTCATTAATTTAGGATTTGGAGAGATTTTTTAAAAACACAAGATATGATTGTATCATAAGAATTGACATCAAATTTCTTTGTGTATTAGGAATTTTACCTACATATTTGTTAAGGTGAGTCATGTTGTGAAAAACAAATGAAGACTGAGAGCCCCGTAGGTTTATTCTATAGAACAAAGATAGTCCAAACAGCAGGTAATAAAAGACAGGTATATTTTATGGATGGGAATTGGAATCCGCAAATGACATTGATAAATATATCTGTTTTATTTTAAGACACTGACACTGTTATTGTTTACAATTGTTATGTGTTTTACTGCATTTTGTGTTTTGTGTTCTATGATGTTTTTACTGTAATTGTATATTTTTTGCATTACCATGTGCCTGTAAGCCACCCCGAGTCCCTTCTGCGAGATGGTGGCGGGATATAAATTTTTTATTATTATTATTATTATTATTATTATTATTATTATTATTATTATTAGATACACAACAAGATTAGTTCACAGCAAACAAGATTACTACGCTAGCTTTTGTATTGGATCATTTGTCGGACACTTCCCAAATGTATAGGGCTATGTGATGTATTGGCGAATAATGCATGCAGTTCCGAGTAGGGTGGCCATTTGCAGCTGACAGATGGTAATTTTGTCAGCACCAATTGTTTTCAATTGCAAATTATTATTATTATTATTATTATTATTATTATTATTATTATTATGATGTTTGAATGAGATTATTTAAAATGTTAGTTAATTTACTACAGCATTACATAGTTCCTTAAAAACTATACAGTGAAGCAGTTATTTGCATCTTGAGACCTCCCTGTTCTTACCTGGGAACTGCTTATTTCCTGTGGAAGAATTAGATTAGATTTCTCTTTGATAAAATGGGGCACACCTTTTGTTTGAATTGTTTTGTCATAGCTTAACTCATATACCTGTGATTTGATAGGAACAGGAGAAATATAGTTAACTTTCATGGATGTTTCTCTGCAAGTTTGCATCACTGTCATTCAGTGCATAGGAAGCTACTTTTCAAAACTAATTTGATTACAGAATTTTAAAAATAACCAACTCCTGTTGCTCAATACGGTATTGAGAAAATTTAACGACACATTGTTTGTGATACTGTTCATAACTTTTCCATACTTTTTCTTAGTTTTTGAGTGAAAAAAAGCTTTAGAAGATATAAGAGAATGGCATAAAACTTGCCATTAAGTGCCTTTAAAAATAATTTCTGAAAATAACAGTATATTTTGACTTGTTATCCCAAAGAAATTACTTTGCTTCTTCTTGTTACGTTGCTTTCAAAAGATAACTTTGTCATGCTTCTGTTATCCTTATGCTTCATTACATCAGACATGTAACAACACTTTGTGTAGGACATTAATTACAATGTTCCTTAACTTTGTAGCTGATATCTTTTCTTCATCATTAGAACCTGGGGAATATCATCATTAGAACCTGGGGGATATGGTTTTTGGTTTTTGTTTCAGACAGTCGGTTGGGCAGGTTGATCCTAAGCAGTGATATCTATTAAAAGTTATTCTTACAATCCCTCCTTAATCTGGCCAGGGAGCTACAGCCACCAGAGGAAAAAACACAACTCTGGTAGGGATGATGGTGTGTGTGTGTATCCAACCACATCTTGTGGCATCCATAGCAATGGTGCTGCCAGCAAATCATCAGGAACTCCTGCTCAATTGTATGAGTCCAACAATGTGCTGAACACACCTCATCCTACCAGTATCACCTCTCCTATGCACATGCCTAATGAACAGTTAGAATGGCAAGACATTTGTGGAGCAAGTGAAGTTCTGTTGTGTTGCATCCTGATAATTCAGCCCTATAAAAATGATTGGTGTTTTTTGGGTACCGAGTCAGAGAATTGTGTTGTATGGACTGCATCAGCTCTAGTTTTTTGATATGGCTATCATGATTTTTGTAGGCAAGCAGATGGCAACCGATAGAGATCATATGTTCTGTATCTCAAAAACTAGAACTAGTGCCATTTTTGGAATCAGCAGGTCCAATCTACACAGAAACAGGTCTAACATTTGAAGTACCGAAGTGTGTCTTGGCCATGTCATTATTTCCATGCACAGCTTAGCTATGTCCAATTCCTAAGTGGTGTTATTTATGTTGATATATCTTTCATACTGGAACAATTATGTGCTTTGATATCTAGGCTGGTGGATGGATAGAGCTTTGCAGGTGAAATGTAGTCTGGGAGAGCACTTTATAGTAGTGCAAAATCGTAGGGGATCTTCCTCTTTTCTCATTTGTTAGAAATGCAGAAATACATAGAGATATGTCAGACTTCACATGTTATGTTGCTGTGATGCATTTTGGCATTAATTAATTAATTTTATTGATTCCTTTTTTCTCATTTTCTAGTCAATCATTTTTGATGAGGTGGATCTGACAGATGCCAGTGTAGCAGAATCCAGCACTAAAAATGTCAATAACAGCTTCACGGTAAGATCTTTCATACCATATCTCACGATATTTTTAGATTTCTCTCAACTGTATGCAAACTGTTCATGAAAAGAAATGCCAGCTTGTATTTATGTCCACTGTGCAAAATGACATCAGAGAGGGATAGCTTTCTTTCTTTCTTCCTTCTTTTTTTCCCCAACCACCACTAGAACAGAAATCACTGACTTGGAAGTGATATTGGTAGGAAAAGTAAATAGAATATAGAGCTGGACAGAAAAATAGTGAATATGATCAACCTGGTCACTTAGCCTCTATAAATCCCTACATGAAACTGCAAATGGGGGATGAAGTGTACTGTCTATTTAAAATGTGATTTGAGGAATTTGGATTTCTTGTAGTGTGGAGACTTCCCAAAATACATTGTGAGAATGGATACCATATTTGAATTGGAAATCTATTTGCATGGTGGACATGGTTTGTTTATATTTGTATTTTTGTCATTTTCCCATATTACCTTGGTAGTTGTTCTCATAAGTCAATGCCATCATTCAGAGTTTCATGAAAATGAATGAGCATCATTCCTAAAACACATTAATAACAGTAAAAGAAGATACATACCCTGGGTCCAGTAAGCTAAAATGCAGCACAGTGTATTTATTGCAATTGGGTTGTTCTAGGCTTTGGAGATCTTTGTCTTCAATCAGCTAAAGAATATTTTGCAAATAAAATTATGAAAAGTGTTAGGCTGGGCATTTTTTAAAAACTCTTTCACCATTCAAATCACTAGAGTCCCCTCCCCGGTTCCTATATAACTTGTAATTTCTTTTTGAGAATACTGTTTTCCTTTCTGCATTTTTTTTTGCAGTTCTATTAGGTTCAGATTTAAAATACATACTGTTTTTCAAGTGCCTAGCTTTAGAATGTAGTGTGAAACGTACTGAGATATTCTATTTTGGAAATGTCATATTAATTATATGCTTTCAGTGTTGAATTTTCCATTACAGTGGTTACATTTTTTTAACCTTTTTGTCTTAAAATGTGTTTCCCCCCCAATTGTCTTTGTTATTGTGATGTACCAATGTTTGTCTGTCCTACCATATTGCAGTATATACATTTTATAGTGGGGGGGGGGGGTCAATCTTACAAATATTTTTTATAGATGATCTTGTATTAGTTCAGATATTGGGAGAATCTAAATTTAGTTTTATGAAAGGGTGGGTAGAGCAGACTTCAGCAACCTGATGCCTTTTAGATATTTTTAACTTTAACCTAAGATGGCTGGGATAGTTGGGCATTTAGTTTAATACAAAGAGAAGGCTGATGTAGAACATTATGTTTTGTGTAGTCTCACATATACTTACCATACATTCTTTGCTTGAATTTCAAATATTAATAGATAACGAATTATCATTTTGTAGTGAAAAACTGGCCACAAAGAAATGACCACAAGCATATAATGCACCTGGCCACATCTGAGGAAAAGGGTCATTCTCCAGTTTTTTGTGAGAGAAATGTTTACTATAATGAGATGGGTTTAAATAGTTCAAGAGTAGGGAAGATTTTGCTGCGTTGGCTCCAGAATGCTTCCAAGAGATGCCAGTATTTCTCAGGATCTTTTATTTAAATATAGACAGGCTTGACATTTCATGAACAATTCACCTTTCTTCCTGTTCTGGCCCCATAACATCCCTTCCTTAATTTCCTCTACTGTGCCATTCTTTTTCCAAGATCTAGTTTGCAACATTAATTCTCTGCGCTTTCCTCTTCCTTATCTGTGCTTTCATATCCTGTGCATGACCTTTGCTTTTTCAACTTCATCACTCTTAGTCATCAAAAAAGCTACTGTTTCCTCAAGTGACCCCACCTTCTTTCCTTTGCTCCACAGGAACCACTTCCCTACTTACCTTCCTAAAACCATTCTTCTTATGAAACCACCAGCATAAAATCATTATTTACTAAGACTAAATTCTAGAAAAGGATTGGCCATGTCTAGCTCATGGGCCACATGTAGCTCTTGGGAGCCTTAAGTATACCCCCTCAAGCTTTGTAAAATTCCAGACACTCCCCATGGGCCAGTTTTAGGGCTTTTTATCTAAAATCCACCTATTGTTTTCCCAGCGGCTACCAGCGAAACAGAACAGGGGCCAGGGACATGTAAAGGGGTTGAATGTCTCTTCTCGCTACTTCTTCATTTTGCATATTTGCCAACTTCTGTCTTAGTGTGTACAGTTAAACACATCCTTGAAAGTGTCTGCATACACATCTCTTGTTAAAATACCAAAGCATAAAATAGAAAACATCAAGTAACAAAAGCAATTGAAATTGATATATGTAAATCTTTAAACTGACTTGACACTAAAACTATTAATAGAGGATAGTTCCAGCACCCTGTACTTTGATGATCTGATTTGGTCTTGAAAATAAGCCCAATAAAGCTACTGGTCTGCAGAAAAAATAGTATGCTGGCAGTGAACACGGGGAAAAATAAATATTCTGCATGAAAAGGAGATAAGGTCTGTGCTGGGTGCAAAGGTAGTGTGGAGCATTTCACTCTTCATCCACAAGCATGCACACTTGCTTACCTGCTTTGAATTTTCAGTTGCCTTCATCTGTTGGTCTAGTAGTGTTAAATGAATGGCTGTAGTAATGATAATGAATTTATTATGAGATAGGCTAAAATGGAATTGGTGTGAGCAGAATTATTGTAGATATTATACTTCAGTCTTCATTCCAGTTAGCAATGAGGAGTGAAATAATAATAATAATAATAATAATAATAATTATTATTATTATTATTATTTTATTATTATTTTATTTCTTACCCTCCTCTCCTTGTGCGTCCGGGTGGATTACAACATAGCTATAACCACATAATCATTATATAAAATGCACATATTAAAACATATTTCTGCAAAATACGTCTATTAATATACACAGACCAATGATTAAAATATAGTAGACACAAAACACAAGTTTAAAATTCATGATTAAAACTGGCTTGGTAGGCCTGCCAGAAGTGATGGATCTTCAAATGTGTTTTAAATTCTGACTGCTAAATGTCTGAGCACTTCCAGCAAGTCATTCCACAGCGGTTAATGGAAAGGCCCTCTGGGTGATGGTTGCCAGTCGAGTTCTGGCAGGCTAGAGTAGCTGCCCTCAAAGGATCTAAGTATTTAGGGCAGATTGTAGGGGAGAAGGCAATCCTGTAGGTAACCTGGACCCAAATCAGAGCTTTGAAGGTCAGAGAGATGTTATCTGCGAAATGGCTATTAAAGGCATCACAGTGAGCTACTGAAGGTTCTAACAATGGGTTTGGATGGGAGGGCACCTGAGTTAGCTCTGGAATGGTCAGCTGGACGTGCGTTCAAAGATGCAATGCATGCAGATAATAAAGTCTTCATTGCATGTATTGCCACCTTAAAGGAGCAGAGGTGCCCTCTATACTGTGTCTTGTCACATCAAAGTCAAGTTTTCTGCAATCTGAACTCTTGTTGTCATCTTTCTTGTTTCATTTCCCCAAGGATCTCTGTATACCAGGGAACGTGATTTATAACAGGTTAAGAGAGGACATTTCAGGGTAATAGTATCAATTGCTTTGGTTAGATTTTGATTGATTTTACTGACCACAGATTCAACTGGATCATCAGTGATGGCAGCCATGGAACCCCCTAAGGCAGTGGTTCTCAACCTGTGGGTCCTCAGGTGTTTTGGTCTTCAACTCCCAGAAATCCTAATAGCTGGTAAACTGGCTGAGATTTCTGGGAGTTGTAGGCCAAAACACCTGGGAACCACAGGTTGAGAATCACTGCCGTAAGGCCTATTGGATCTATTAGCCTTTGAGGGAGGACCATTTTAATAGTTCCTTCACCTCTTCAGGGGTAGGTTGTAGCTGTGATACTAGCCATGACCAGAAAATGATCTGTTCGTTGCCACTGAGGTATTGATCACCTCCGTCCACAGATCTGTATGCTCCAAGCTGAAAATGGCATCAAGGGTATGACCTGATTAATTTGTTGATCCAGAAACCAATTGGAATAGGCCCATGTTTGTCATGGATATCATGAACTCCCGAGCCGCATCTAATAAACTGTTCTCCAGTGGCATGTTGAAGTCACTTAGAAGCAAAAGCCTGAATGATTCCAACAATACCTCCAAGACCAGTTCCATGAGCTTGATCAGGGAGTCTTTTAGGTGGCAGGGTGGATAGTACACTAACAGAATCGCAAGTCTATTCCTGGTTTTCAAACTCAGATACATACACGTAATGTATTCAACTTCCTAGTAAGTAATCTGGTCAAGATGTCTGGTGATGTCTCAAGTGGATTTCAGGGGAGAAGGGAGTTATCATATAGGCACTGTGAAAATAGAGAGCAGTGAAGATTGGGCAGGATCTCTATGCCAGTCAGAGATATTTAAGCAGCTATGTTTCTTTCCTGAAGTGTAGAAAAATTCCTATTGTAAACAGTGGATGATGCAGATGGATGCTGAAGTAGATCTAGCACCAAATTTCTTGATTATGGTCTGATTTCTAGGCACTCTTTGGAATACAAAACAAAAATTATCTGAAATATAATTTCTTCTCAATCATGAATTTCCTCTTTTACAATTCCATTGTGGATACCGTATTTGCTCCTCTGGCATTAGAGATCATGCAGGACAATGCTCTAGTGACAGTGTAGTGAATAGTCAAAGTTGTTTGCTCAATCCTCCTATATTGGTGCTGCTGTGAATATCAGTATAGCATACCATTACTATGAAATTAGGTTGTCAATAATCACACTGCTTATTTTAGAATTACCATAAGCTCAAAATCTGGCTTGCTGAAGAGGTGACGTTCAAATTCCCTGGAATCTCCGTAGCACTCCCCTGCATTAGGAAGTGCCTCTTAGCTCTACTGCAGACGGGAAACAGTGTGTTTTCACAGTCAGTAGTGCCTGTCTCCTGAGTTCGCTGCCAGTTGGAGTAAATCTGTCCTTGCTCCTCCTCAAGCAGACAGCTAATCAGCTTGTGGTGAGTCTAGCAGAATTCCCAGAAATTGG